TGTTTAACTTGAACCGCATGTGCTGAGAACCAAACTAAAGACCCAGCACACCCAGGTAAAGCCTAGCAACGACCTAGAAACAGCTTGCATCACCCAGCTGAGGCCTAGAAACAGCCTAGACGGAACCAAATTGGTCTTCAGAATTGTCCAGTGTAAAAAAAAAAAGTATTGCAGAAAACAGTAATCAGAGCCAATCACTTACACAGATCGATGGCGTTTGATTCCCGCGATCTTTTGAAAGACAGAAATGCACACTTTCAATTTGCTGACAGGATTGCAAACGGGGCAAAAAATGCAGCGAGCAACTCTCAGTCACATAGCTGAAATAGCAGAGAATAATACAATGATGGTTTACAATATACATATAGCTGAGATAATTTGGGCTGTTATTTCAAGCTATTATTCCGTTACTCTGTTATTGTAAACGTATCTTTAGAAAAAACTAGAGCTGAGCTAGTTGGTAAGTATTCATACTGGAAGACTGGGTAAGCAAACACTGACACAATCATAAAAGTGTTCATGTGTTCTGGCTTCCTTTTGCATATGTGTTTACATGCCCAGTCTTTTGGAATGAATATCCGAAATGGCTGGTACTGGTTCCAATACTATAGTACTTCCAATAGTGTTTGGTACGCAACTACTAGTCGGCATAAGAGAAAGTGGAGTGAGAATAAACTTTGACGGCTGGCAGCACATTGTACCATTTGAATTATTGGGCTAATGAATTTTCCGTGCTTAATATAAATTGCCTCAACGGAATGGTAAAAGCATAGGGTAGTTTTACTTCATTGGGTAGTAAGGTGAAACTTACTAAAGTTTGGAGGTGCTCAATACAATTGGTTAATTGATACTTTCGTAAGGGAGGCAGTGCCCAAATACTGCACCAGTGTGGCCAATCCTGCTCTGGTGAGAAGTACATTACCGGCAGGCGGTTGCCAGTGAGGCCGCACCTACAGACCTCTTCTTTCTTTTGTTCTTTAACGATTCCTTTGTTATGTGTTTTAAGTAATTATACGATTGCAAATGGTCTAGCCGGCATTTGTATTCGAACCGAATTTTGTCATTGCATGCTACACTGCTCTATCTCTAAGCAGGTTGGTTAGTTGCACTTCCTTAGCACTGTAGAATACCACCGGACAGCCTATCAGCTCTCAGCTTCACATGACTCGTAGATTGACGGACTTAACTGTTTGAAAGTCCAATTTACAATGAGGGAAGACAAAAAGAACAGCACAGTTTTGAACCTCTGACCTTAGTGCCCGGGATGACCCTCGTCCTCACATATTTATTCTCTCCTAAGTTCTTCCTGTTTCGCTCGATTTTGACATTGTTGGCTTCTAAGCGTCCGCAATGTCGGAGTTCTGCCTTTATGTGGTCGCATTCCTACTTTGACGTTTCCTGTCAGCTGATGAGTTGTGCACTCCTCTTTTGCTCACCAATTGGCTACTTCTATATGTGATTCTTACGTTGAGCGTATACGTCGCGGGCGGTTAGAAGTGCATGAAAAGTAAATGCGAAAAGTTTCTAGCTGCTGAAGAATAGACTGGCGCTGCCGTTAAGGCTATATTTTGTTGGCATTTTGGCTCTGGTAAATAATATAGTTGTGGTCCTCAGTCGAAAGTAAGATATGCGTACTAGTAACTACATCTACAGTTAGCCTTATAGCTTGAAATAGTGGACGAAAAGGTAAGGAGCGAATAATTTCTAATTCTAGAGAGCGGCGAAGGGCAAGAGAGTTCACACGAAAGTAATAATGTGTTTGCATTCACTCACCTGCATAGCGTCAGCTTGGACTGATAGACTCTTGGTCTCGCGAACAGCGATAAGTCCACGTGACACGTTCAGCTTGCAAGTGCTTCTCGGAGCCCTCATAATGGTACGTTTGGTGAACGCAACTTCTGCCAGTGGGACGCTATGCTTTAGGATAATTATTTCGAATTTGCCTCTTTGTGTGTAGTTATATTAGGTGCTGGAGATAACGTAGCGTATGACATTTAATCAGATATTAGTACAAAGAATATGCTATGTCTACTTTGTGTCAATACCACCTCAACATGGCCTAATATACAAGACCCAAGCTGAGGATATACTAAGCTTACTTACACACTATAGTATCAGCGAGATACTATCAATCATGTGAATACTTTAGCATCAGTGAGAGAGTGGCAAGTATCATAATTAGGTTACCAAAGGTACAAGATGAAGGTGATACAGGCCGATGCACCTACATCGAGGCATGGTAATCATTTGGTTGAACGCTTCTTTGAGGATGGGGAGTCAGCAATTAATGAAGGAAAGACACAGTATGCTATTCTGATGGGCGACTTAATGCCAAGGTATCCAGGAAACAGGCCGGAGACCGTGCAGTGGAATAATATGGCATCAGCTCTGGAAATGCCAGAGTAGTTTTATTAGTAGAGTTTGCAAAACTCAATAATTTATGGATCTTCAATACCCTCTTCAGAAAATGGGCTAACCGTAAGTGTATGTGGTAAAATCCCAAAGGTGAAACTAAAAATGACATAGACTTTCATTCTGTGTGCACACCCAGACATTATACAGGATATAGTTGGCAAAATACGATGTAGTGACCATAGAATGGTAAGAGCTCATATTCACCTAGATTTAAATAGCAAAGGGATAAACTGATATGCAAGAAGCCAATAATGAGCTAGCGGTGAGATGAAAAGTACAGGAATTCAGAGTTTCACCTCAGAATATATTCGAGACTCTAAACAAGGTAACCATCGTTAGAATTGACACAATTAACAGTAATATCACTAGTATCATCAAAGAGTGTGCAATTGAAGTCGGAGGTACAGTCACTAGACAAGAAACTGGCAAAGTATTTCAGGAGATGAGAAATCTCACTAAGGGACAGCAAACCATGAAAGCCTCAAAAACAACCGACAAAATACAGCTAGAGGAGCTTTCGATGTTAATAGGCGTAAGGTAGCCCACATCAGAAGGTACAGCATGAAGAGAATTGAGCAGGCTGTAAAAAGTGACAGAAGCCTAAAATCTGTGAAGGCAAACTTCTACATAGGCGAAAATCGGATGTATGCGTTAAGGGACAAGGAAGGCAGTGTCATAACTAGAGACCGTATCGTAGGCTAATTCATCATATTTTGTCACTTTGATATATGAGCACAAATTAGAGGTTAACAAGAGCTTTTATAATGTTTTTATTGTGCCTATTTTGGGGGTTCGTGCCTAGATTTCTATAAGTGCCTATAAATGCCCATTTTCGAAATCGGTGCCTATGTGAACACAATTTAACCTCAAATTTTGCTTTCGAGCACAGTTGAAGACCAGTATCCATGTTAGATAAAGGTCAGCTGGTGCTCATTGCACCTCATTTCGTGGTGCGTAGCACGGCAAATCTTGGCAGATGAGATTGTGAGCACCATGTGCATGCATTCCTCGTGCATGTATTTCTCTTGCCTGCTTGAAATTCCCAAACCTAGTGAAGGGCCCTTTAAGGTGTTCACAGACAGAAGAGAAATGGACCCTGTGCGATTAGACCGGGTTAATGCAAAGCAAAAAGGCTCTTCTGGCATATTAGGGCTCTGACTATTTGCTACTGTGTTGCCCTTCTCAGCCATGCCGAAAAGAAAGAACCCATGAGCTTGTTCATTCGACGGTGTACTCTTAACTCACAGTGCAGGACTAGAAAAGGAGAGATCATATTCTGCAAACCCTGCGGGAGAAAAGTGCGTGGCTATGCTAAACCATTGGCGCCTTTGTATCATCATAAAATAAAACGTATCTGTTTGCTTTCCTGTCTTACACATATATCCTACACGTAATTCTTTGAAAATTTGTATTTTGTCAAAGTTTATTATGACTATATTTACGATCTTGGGGGCCTAAAATGGTGTTTTGCCTGCCCATTTTTTGGTGCCTAAAACCCGTTTATCAGTGCCTATAAATTCGGCCTCTAGTCGTAACCAACATGGATAGAATAGTTTAGGTGGCGGAGGCGTTCTGCAGAGAGCTGTGCAGAAGCCGAAACAACCAGGATGATATCGTAAGAATAATAGCCCAGAGGACTTCAAGATCCTGCGAGTAACGACAGGGGAAGTAAGGAAAGCTCTATAAAGAATAGAAAGAGGCAAAGCCACTGTTGAGGATAAGGTAACAACGGATCTGCTGGAAGATGGTATAAAAGTTGTGTTAGAAAAACTGGCCACCTTATATACGACGTGTCTCTTGTCGTCAAGGGTACCCCTGCGTTCATCTGATTGTTCAAGAGGCTACTGTCAGTGGTTAGCCATTTGGGATAAGGGGTGAGGCAAGGCTGTGTAATCAATATATAAGTTTAAGTGTGTGTGTGTGTGTGTGTGTGTGTGTGTGTGTGTACACACACACACACACACACACACACACACACACACACACACACACACACACACACACACACACACACACACACACACACACACACACACACACACACACACACACAAGCAGGCATATATATATGTCTATAGATACTGTTTGCCTTTCTGTGTTGCATTACACAAATGATTTATTTCAATTTTTGTAAGCTATTTGTAATTCTCTAGCTTTCTAACTCTTCCTTGCATTTTCTGATGTCGCTTCGAAACTTTCCATCTAATCATTACAGCCATGCAACTCTTGTGAACGAGTGAAGCTCTTTGACATAATTTTATTCTCTAAGCAAGTCAAAGTAGTTCTTGTCCAGCCCTTCTCATATGAAGGTCACAAGACTGTCCATTTCGGTCAATAAAGCCAGCGGTGCCCAATTGTATTGAAAGTGTTGAACTGCATGAATTTCAATTTTCGTACATTTTACGAATCCTTATCTAATGACCTGTGTAATTTACTACTATTCGCCAGAAATTTTAATAGTTGCTTTTGTATGAAGCAACAGGCTCTCATACTGAATCTGCAATTTCTTTTAATTTTGCCACTACTTATGCTTCTATAATACCGCCAGAGGTGCTATGGGCTCTTGCATTGGAAAGACAGGACTCTTTCACGAGAAAACAAATCTTTTATTTCTGTAACATAACACAATTCGCAACATAACAATGAAATAAGCATCGTAGATTCACTGATGCCTTGTTTCAATAATGTAGCTGCCACCTTGAGTGCTTCACTGACAGGCATGTGCACTTCAAGGACATGTGCAGTAACTTGTGGCAATACATGTGTAACTGGCATAAGAAAGACTGTGACATGAGAAGCATGCATGAAAATGACCATGTTGCTGCACAACTTGTGATGGCTTATTCTTCTGGCATCAGATGTCCTTTGGAATTCACCATTTGCTAGAAGACAGATGTGCCTACTAGATAGTGGGTTTAACCCTTTTAGGTTTGCTTTATACCTTGAATACATAGCACTGAAGCCAGTTACATTCAGTTATGTTTTGTGGCAGTTTTGCGTGACCTCGGTAGGCTTAGCCTTCATTTAGTTTTTGAAATATTGTATTAAGGTTTTTGTTGTACTGCATTGTTCTGCTATGCAAGCATACCTCTAATAGATGACTCAAAGCAACTGATGTAAAAGTCAACATTGTAACAGAAACATAACGTAATAACCAACATAACGTGAAACAATGCTTTTAGCAGCATGGTATTACATTTTGAGCAATGTCGCATTTGCTCCTGTAACACTACTACACACGCACACACGCAGTTGGTGTGGCGCACACATGAGAGCTTGGTCATCAGCGTCCCTTGCGAAATTCCAAAATTCACTTTGTGGTCAGTGCTCTGGTCTTAGGTATTACATATGCCCAAGCAGAAGCTATGACGTTCCACATTGCTGATGCCCATCGCACCCCTTTTTTATCCTGTGAACCTTCCCGAAGGATTGCATGTCAGGATCTCTTTCGCATAATCCTAGCAAAATTTGCAAATATGCTACAGTCTGCTCACATGGTCATCGAACTTAAGTACAAGTATTATTGCTATCACTCTTAGAAAGTCACCTATCTGCACCTGCTTCACCACGACCTTCGCTGCATGAAAGGTACCCATGGAATTACTCAAGGTCGTAACGTTAATCAAACGTTTGTCGCGGCCAGGATAATCCTTTCCGTTGTGTTCCTCCATGCTGTGACACATTCACTGTGACCCTGTATACGCATGTGTATGTAGATGACAATGTACAGAGTGATTGCACATGCCCCCTTTAACAATGCAGCTTGTTCAGTACTTGTTCCTTCACTATGCCTTGGCGGCAGCCTTCCTGCTGCAGAGCTGGTCGTAGCCGTCGGAGCTGCACGCCGACACGAAGCTGTCGAAGGCGAGCTTGATGGGGCACTCAAACTCGTGCACCGTGTACTTCTGTAGCCCCTTGTCATAATAGCACTCGTAGAAGCGACTGCAGTCAGTTGGGTGCCGAAAGAGGCCGACACGAGTGCAGGCTGCTTCCGGTATGGTGGACATCTCAGACGCCTTGTCCTTGAGCTCCTGCTGCAAGCCATCGGCCGGCACGCTGTTGGTCGACTGGATGTTCTCAACCAAGGCCTTCCCCTTGAGGAAGATGGAGGACTTGTCGGGGGGTGGGCTGTCCTCGACAGTGGCTTCGGACAGCTGGGCGGACTGGGGCTTCTGGACGGAGTGCGAGAGTAGCTGCGGATTGAGGATTTCAACAGGATTCGCCGGCTTGTTGTAAACTCGAGGTCCTGCGTGTGGAAGTTCGGGTGGACCCTTCTCAGAGACGACGAGCTTGACGGCCTGGTCATCCTCCTCTTCGAGGAGCTGCTCGATGGGAGTGATGACTGGGTTCTTATAGCTTCCAGGTCGCATCCTGCCGAGGACCTCTTGCAGTTCCTGGATGATTGACTGCGGTGGGTCGTCGAGTGGTGCCGTATGCAGGACGGGCTTGACGTTGGTGATGAGTGGATCGCGCTCTTCGACCACGAGCTTGTTGACGGAGTACTGCGAGGGTGGCTTGCTGTCGCCGCCCGCCGCGCTCGGTGATGAAGGTGGTGGTGGTGGTGGCGGCAGCTTAGGCGTAGAAGGCTGAGTGGGAGCGGGTGCAGGAGCGGGTGCAGACACTGCGGGTTCGGAGAGGACGACTGGAGCCGTAGGAGCGGGTGGTTGGGAAATCGGCATGGTGTACGTGGGTCTTGGAGGTGGTGGAGGTGGGGGTGGTGGGGGTGGGGGCAGTGCCGGCCTTCGTGTCTGGGCTGGGACAGTGGGTGGTATGGGCCTGGCAAAGGGAACCGTTGGTGTTGGAGGTTTGGGAGCCAGGGCTGCGAAAGTTGGGATCGGACCGGCGGGTTGAAGAGTGGGGAACGGTTGATGGAAATTTCTGGTTTGGAGGTTCTGGCCCGGTGAGAAGGAGAACGACGGCTTCTGCGAAGGAGGCGATGGAAGCGGGGGCAGGGGGGCGGACGTGTAAGTTGGCGGAGAGTACTTGGTAAACTGGGGCGCTAGTGGCGGCTGACCGAGTGGAGCGGGAGGTGCCGGCACAGGCGGTCGACTCCTGGTGTTGGTCAGGGCATCCAGGGATATCAGCTCGTCGTCGTCTTTTTTGTAAGGCTGTGGCGGCGGAGTCGTGTACGTGTACTGAGTTCCTCCGGGACCGCCATATCCGACGCTTAGGGGTGGTACAGTTCGCGTCTCTGGCAGCTTGGGCGCGAAGTTGAGTGGTCTCGTAGGTGGCAGCGTCGGCACCGTTGGTTTGGGCGGGTCCGGCTGCCTCAAGGGGAACATGTGGTGGCTGTCTCCGAAGAGGTAGTTGGTGCCAAACATCGTCACGCCTTGGCGGAAGTTTGTGTTCATGAAGGTCAAGGGGTTGAAGAGGTAGACGTTGGCAGTGCCGAAAGGCAGCCTGGTCCTCACAACCTGTGTCAGGCCGTCGAGGTGCTGAGGCTCGGGCTGGTTGCCGAAGATGAAGGAGTTGGTTCCTACCTGCGGCTTTTGCGTGGCGAAATACGAGTCTTCCGGGCTGCCAGTGTACTGGGGTGCGGGCGGCAGCGTCTCGTAGTGGATGCGCGATGATGGTCGGACCAAAGGTGGCGAGAACGCCTTGCGTTCATACGTGCCGGCGTAGCCTCCGTAGAAGGACGTGGCCGGGTTGTACCTCATGTAGCTGCTGTAAGGTCCGGACAGGGTCCTCAAGCCAGAGTCGAGTTGCGGTGCGTAGGACAGCGCCCTGGGCAGTTCCTGGTATGTCCTGAAGTAATGAGGAGTCTGCGGTGGTCCTGGAATGAACGATGTACCCGAGCCCGGACCGTGGACGATGTGCGTTCGGTAGAGATTTGAGAGCGTGTGGTCGAAGTTCCTGTGCACCTCCGGCGGCCCGTACTGGACGCCCGGTAGCTGGAACTTAGGAGGCGGAGGAGGCGGCGGCGGAATGCTTGTCTGGGGCACCCTGTACGTTCCGGGTGGAAGTTGACTGGTGGCGCCGTAAGTTCCGTGACCGTAGGCGGAGGTGCCGGGATGCTGCAGCAGCGGAGCCTGAGTTGCCTGAGGCACGGTCACCTGAAGGCCGCCGTAACCAGCGGTCTGCTTTGGAGGCTGCGGTTGATCGTATACCTGCTGCTGGTAGACCTGCTGTCCGTAGTAGATACCCTGACCCTGTATATCGGCGGGAGACTGTATGACGCGAGCCTCGATTTGAATTTCGGGGTAGTGCGGTGACCCGAGCGGTCCCTGATAGCCGGCAGCCGGTAGGAAGTGAGCGGGAATGTCCCTGGTCTGTACATGCGATGGCCGGTGGAAGGCGCTCTTCTTGACTATAGGATGGACCTGTTGAAGGGCCGTGGGCGCTGCCTGCAAGTGTATCTCGGAGGGAATGACGCCGCTGGCGACCGAGATGCCGTGGAGGCCCAGTGGTTGAGGTCTCTGAACGTGCGAGGGAAGCAGGGGAACGCCCCTATTGGGAGAGCCCTTCGGTGCGTGGTAGAACTCGCCCGGACCGTACAAGGACGGTCCGAACAGTGCCTGCTGGACGACACCCGAGTGGCCTTTGCAGCCCGGGGTGACCGCCTGGTAGTTGCAGCTGAAGGTGTTGGGGTCGAAGCCCAGCCCGTACGGACAGCGCATGTCGAAGGCAGTAAACGTGCCGTTTTCGTACGCGTCGTCGCAGAAGTAAAAGTGACGACAGTTCTCGGGGTCCTGGTAGTAGCCCAGGCCGGGGCAGCGGAAGGCTGACCTTGGCGTGACGGAGACCTCGCCCGAACCATGGCAAGACTCGGACCACGAGGGCCAGTTGCAGACCTGCGGTGAGACGAAATTATCAACGTTACATCCAGTTATGCATATGAGTTTTTCTTTTAACTCTAGCTTGTGCGCTGCGAACCTGTGTGCTGTGAACTCTTACGCAAGCGGCGTCGACTCTTGTCCTTACGCTCATGCCTTAACTTTTTTACTTATGCTCATGCCTTAACATTTGTCCTTATGCTTATGCGTGCCGATAAGGCTTGTTGTGGTGAAAGGCAAATTACGGTGTAATGCTTTGCGGACGCTGGTCCCGAGATCGGAAAGGACCTTACTGCAGAACGTACAAGCAAAAATATGTAACTAACAATTGCTTCCAGTGATATCAAAAGGATATAAAAAAATTCAGGTGCCCGTTTTTTTACAAGGAAATGAACACCCGGCATACTGCCTTTTCATTTACCTAGCTATATCTATCTCTTCTATTTTTAAAAAGGGGAAAATGGACAACTACCCATAGTCCCATGGAGCTACATGGAAATCTGTACGGATTCTCTGGAAGAGAAATCGGTTGCGGAAAAGATCGTCTTGGTCTGGGGTTCGAACCCGGGACCAACGTCTTTTTGGGGCCATCGCTCTACCAATTGAGCTAACCAGGAAGCTAGGAGTTGGCAGTGCGAGGGCGAATTCATCGACAACTCGAAGCTCACGAACACAAGTGTCACAAATGAGTTTTCAACACTTGTGTCAGCCCCGCCACGGTGGTATAGTGGCTGATGTACTCGGCTGCTGATCCGCAGGTCGCGGGATCGAATCCCGGCTGCATTTCCGACGGAGGCGGAAATTTTTGTAGGCCCGTGCGCTCAGATTTGGGTGCATGGTAAAGAACGCCAGGTGGTCGAAACTTCCGGAGCCCTCCACTACGGCGTGTCTCATAATCATATGGCGGTTTCAGGACGTTAAACCCCACATATCAATCAACAAGAAGGATGGTTATATAATCATTGGAATTCATTATGGTCATTAGAATATCAGCATAGCACTCTGGCGTGTATTTTTTTTTTCAAATACTGTGAAGGCCAAGCATCATAACAGTATCATAAGGTGTGCCGTCGTCATTAATCGGTAAAAACCTGATCCTGTAGGGCATATAGCGATAAATTTTTTTGATAGTTGTCTGGAGAATGTCCAAGAAGAACAGAAGAATGTCCCACGTATCAATCAATCAATCAATCAATCAATCAATCAATCAATCAATCAATCAATCAATCAAACACTTTTCCGCAAACACTTGGGCCTGTTTTATGGCCGCACTATGCGCAAACAACACGCACCTCGATCTTCTCGTCGAACACGAGTCCCGGCGGGCAGTCGAAGATGAACACGGTGTACTCGTGCTTCTGCTGGTCGTACTTGACGCAGCGGAAGAACTTGGAGCAGTCCTGCGGGTGCCGGTACGAGCCGGCGCGGGTGCACGTGAAGCCGGCCACGCTGTACGAGTTGAGGCCCTCGACGTGCAGGTTCTGGCCCTGCTGGTCGACGACGCGCACGATGCGCGTCTCGCTGTTTGTGGCCGCGTAGTCGACGCGCCCTCCGGCGGCGGCGCCGTGCACCACGCCGGTGATGCCCTCGTGCAGGCTGTGCAGCAGCGGGAAGCGGCCCTGTCCGCACACGGCGCGGGTGTCGTCGTCGTTCACGGCGTACGCGTACGCGCCGCCAAGGTCCCGCACCTGGATGTACTTGCCCTGCAACAAGGAAGAGAAGGGGGACGACCATTGTGTAGTCGGTGACGGGAATGCTGGGGTGACTGTTCGTTGTGCATTGGGAAGCTACGAAGCGCGTTACCAAGCGCGCCGAGAAAGAAACGACATGTGTTGCAAAATAATAACGGGGGAACTTGGAGCGTGCCGCACTCTATCGAAGAAGAGGAGGCAGAGGGTGAATCGGGGCACGCGGACGAGGGCGAAGCAGCTCGCCGCTAGAATTGGCGATAAACGAACGTCTCTCTTTCACGTCTGGGCGACGAGTCGTTTCGTTACATTTTGGTGCCGAAACCCGGGAACGAACCAGGGACTTTTAAAAGAACCAGGGACCTTTAACAGGGCACGTTCTGATAATAGTGTTGTCTTAACAGAGCACGTGTTGATAATGGTGTAATGGCTTGGCTTCATATTTTGATTATTTATCACCACTTTTTTTTGTCTTTCCTGCTGTTTTCATGTTGGCTTATTTAGTGTCTCATAGGACGAGTTTATGCAAGAGATATGGGCACCGCCATTTTGGGCTGTTAAGCGACTGTTTCTTTTTTTCATTGATGTAACTCTTGTTGTGAACTGATGAAGTCGGGAAAACGCAGAATGCACACCAAGCCAACCTTTTTCCATTCGTATACGACCACCGTAGCACTGCATTTTGTTGTTCCAGATACAAATTGGCGAGTTTAACAGCCCCATTGCAAGGCTTCCCCGAAATCCATCTGCACTATCTAGATAAGCTCGCTTCTGAGGAAGAAAAAAAAAGTCAGCGCAGTGTTAGGCATTCTCATCATCGTCTCGGTATATAGTGCGCTGGGGTTCACTATGACTGAGCTACAAGATGTGAGTTCCCCGAAAAAGGCTTACGGTCGAGCTTGCTGGTAAAACGGGACGTGAAGGGCTACACTCATGAATGCGTGGCCGTTGCGAACAAACGAATAAGGGCGGCGGTGAAGTTTCGTAATATGAAATGATTGCGTGGCTCCAGAATTTTAAAAAGAAAAATAAGGGCTGCGCATCGTTGCTTTTGCAACTAATCGTACCTCCTTCCAGGCACTCGGCTACTGTACGTGTGCGAACACAGGAGAGAAATAAGGCGATAAGACGAAGACGTGTCATCTTTAGATATTTAGGCATCCCTGTAAATGTATACTTAAGTTTCTTTTCGCGCACACGACCTAAGCCCACTTGGCAGTTACCACACTTCCTTATCACCTTAATGTGGCCGGAAACTCGGCCTTGCAGTGCGTAGTTTTTATTATTGGGTAGTTAACGGATTGCTATACTCAAACCTCGTTAAAACGAAGTTGCTAGTCGTACGCGAAAGTGAGTTTGTTATATCCGAAATTTCGTTATAAAGGTACATTCGTAACATCTATTGCAAGGCTGCTATTTACTTTGTGATATCTGATATTTAGTTATAAAGGTACATTCGTAACAACACCTATTGCAAGGCTATTGTTTACTTTGTTATAGCCGATATTTCGTTATATCGGAGTTCGTTATACTGAGGTTCGGCCAAGCCCAGAGCTGTCGTCGGTGCGGATTCACTTACCTTGAGCCTCAAGCTGAGTTCGTCCTCGAATCCCATGAAGGCGTCTCCGCTCACCGCGTAGGGAGCCGTCAGGTCGGCGTCGCGCTCAACGCTGAAGTTCAGGTTGTGTTGCAGGGCGCAGAACTACGCACAAGAATGGGCAGACGCAATTGAAACGCAGGGCAGCACGGACAGTGAAGAGTTCAGCGTCCACGACTGCGTCTTCGGCTTCATTATATAACCGCTGTACGCGGAGTATAACGCGAGCTATGTATTCGGTGGCGTACAACTGTCTCAACTCGAGTGTTTATTTATTTATTTAGTTTGATTTGATTTAATTTATTATTACTGTAAGCCCTGTTTAGGGCTATTACAGGAGTGGAAGATACAACGTAAACATACTGGCAATGTACGTACAGAAATAGAAAAAAATTCGCTGGCGCGTTAAAATTGCCCGTGTTTGCTGTCGTCATTTTGGGTAGATACTAAGTGTCAATCACCTCTGACACATACCCGCACACCAGCGGCACATACCCGCCTGAAGTTCGGGTTGTGTTGCAGGGCGCAGAACTGCGCACAAGAATGGGGAGACGTAATGAAACGCAGGGCAGCACAGACAGTGAAGAGTTCAGCGTCTACGACTGCGTGTTCGGCTTCATTATAAAACCGCAGACTGCGTGTCACGAGGGACAACACAGTAAGAAGGGGAATGGAGGGAACACTGTGGCAGAAAATGTAACTTTTTTACTTCCATTAACGGGTAGAAGTTGCTTGAGGTGCAAGCAACGGGACAGAGTCTCGCAGCGACCGCTACGATGCAGCCAGTGCACGCATTGAGAAAGACGGGAAAAATACATAGCACACATTCAGAATACGAAATATCCAAGAAATTAATTTACTTTCATACAAAAGCAGTCTGATAATTGAGGAAAAAAACAATGAAAAATATAAACACAAGATATTGTCCTTGTTTATATGAGCATGGATCGATGTAACCCTTCGGCAGTGTTCCTGCCGAAGCTTTTCTCATTTCAGTATTTAATTTATCAAATAAAATTTCACAAAAATATGAGTGTACGTCTCTAATATTTTATGACTACAATTGTTTGCCCGCGCAGTGTCCGCCTCCTTCTGCTTTGTGTAACGAGTGGAAGAAATTAGAACTGCATTATTTTCAAAATTACGCGACGGATATAAAAGCATCTACGAGTTGTCTATATCTTCTCTTCTCAAGCAAGATAGAAAATACAATAAGGACTGAAGGAACTCAATCGTATTGCTCTAGTATGCTTATCTGAGTCACAATTCAGCCTTTTTGGTCTCCGGCACGGGGTGACAGCAATAAACAGCAATAATACTCGTACGCTCATTTAGTCGTAGCTGAAACCGTATGATTATAATTATCATTATAAAAGAACCGAGCTGTGACAGTGTGCTCAGAAATTTTTACGATTGCAGCGGCCTCCACTGATTCGGGTTATGAATTGAACGCATCGCCAGTACGCGAAAAAAGAAAGTTTGATTATTCAGGTACGCCCGATTGCCTTGAGAAGATCGTGTGAAGGTGTATGAACGTATTTTGTGTGAGCGTTTGTGAAGACGTTTAGAGATAAACCTCCGAAATGATCTTCCGAACGCTTACGAGAGGACGCATACCCGGCACAATAGCGCGAAATCCAGCGGCCCGCTTCGTGCTTGGCACTTTTGTCCAATGAGTCGCGATATGACTGCAATCATGCTAAGGCTGAACAAAAACGAATAGCTTTTCAATATTTTTGTTGTATTCTGAACGATTCCGCATTCAGCTTCATTCAGAATACAACAAAAGTATTGAGGAACGATTCCGCAATCAGATGCCGAATACTGAGCGGACAAAAGTTAAAAGTGAGCGTGGCGTCTACGTGTTTGTTCTGCACATAGGAGAACTTTTGCTCTCACCCATGTGTTATTGCTTTTTTAATATTTTTTTATTTGTACCAATCAAGTGGAAAGGGGTAGCCGTCACCAAGTAACGGTGACAAAAACTTGTTCGTTTATTTTCTATTTCAATAAAAAAAAAACAATCAGATGCCGCGCAAGGATGTACACGGGGTCGAACGCGAGCTGTGTATTCGGTGACGTAAAACCGTCTCAGCTCGAGTGTTTATTTATTTATTTCGTTTCATTTCATCTCATTTATTAATACTGTCAGCCCTGTTAAGGGATATTACAGGAGTGGATGATACAACGTAAACATACTGGCGATGTACGTACAGAAACAGAAAAAAAATCGCTCGCGCGTTGAAATTGCCCATGTGTGTTCTCGTCATTCCTGGGTAGATACTAAGTGTCAATCACCTCTGACACATACCCGCACACCAGCTGCACATACTCGCCTGTGCGTATGTGCCACTGTCTGACGGGAAGTGTTTGGCGACGTACTTGACGGGATCCTGACATTATTCACGTCTTAACCAGCGGATCATATTCGTCAAACAATCTTACCCTCCCATTATTATTTTGGTTCACGCCAAGTTAAGGGGGTAACCACGGGAGTGCCCAAACGTAAGCGGCTAGATAGATACGCTCAAAGTCGCCGAAGTTCGTGAAGAAATGTTTCGCATTAAAAAAAAAAGAAACTTGAAAGAATGTGGTATAATTGGGTATATCGCACTTTTGACGATATAAAACAAAGCTTTATAACATCAGAGTACTAGCAGTAGCATACAACGAATATTTATTTATTTGTTTGTTTGGTTGGTTGTTTACGTATCCATTCAGTGGCCCTGATTCGGGCAATATCAAGTGTGTAATACAAACAAAAGTTTCAACAGTATACTAGTAATGGTGAAACAAATGCACACACAAGAGAACAATAATGGAAATGAAGCGCGAAGGTGCTCTCCGGTTGAAACGAAAACGTCATTTTGTGGTAAGGAGTGAGTGTTACCAGGGAGGGATTTCCAAAGCTCTATTTCACGTGGAGAAAAAACAACTATATTTCAACGTATCGGTACGAGCAAGGAAATGTGTAACATTGAAGGCGCCGATGCTATGGGTACAATTGTCGTCAGTAAATGCAGCTTTCGTTGTACACTACGTCGTATACCTGCGGGTGGTTGAACTGGTAGGAGTCGTCCTGCCCGTGGTACAGCGGCGCACCGATGGCCGCGATGTTCGGGTCGGCGAGCCGGTAGGTCATGCCGAACATGGGAACGCCCACGACGACCTTCTGTCGGGGAACGCCCATCGCCAGCACCAGGTTCACCAGGGAGTCCTGCAACGCACCAAAAATAACTCGTGAACATTTGCAGAAGCTGGCTTTGCCACATTTGTGTGCTTACTGCGGAGAAGCCAGCTTTGGCAGAGCTTTTGCCGTTGAATCGCGCATATTTGTTTGACTTCTTATTTGGCAGTACGAGACCTGACATCATCTGTAGAAGGCGATGAACGCGTTGCGAAATCGTGCATCGATGAAAAAAAGACGTAAGACGTTTTTGACATTTCTCGGTGACGTTCCGATTTGCGCGCAACCAAAACAAGATGGATAGCTTAAGCGACACTGAAGCTGAAAACAATATGTTAATTATACAGAGAAGTTACTCTTTCACAACTCGATTGCCGTCAACTGCGCCACCATATGATAATTAATAGGAGGCAAATCGCAGCTCAGTTTCACCCCTGAGTTTTCCACCGAAACTTAGGCACGTTAACGTCAGTGGGACGTCACGAACGCGAAGTCATTTTTTCTTGTGAACTTTGTTTTCGTGGGTTCGATGACACTTTGTCACAGTTGCTTTTTTGAGTCTGTGACCCTGAAGAGGGCCTCTTCATCATCAAGCCACATGGCCGCCAAGCACATGGCTTATGGCTTTCTGCCTCTCTACATCTGCATGCTCATAAAGTCTCTAGATTTAAAAAAAAAGAAATGTAGGGTCTTCACCTGCTCCCTGTGCATAGAGCGGGGAGAGGCCGTCCACACGGTAAGTGGTCTCAGTGCGGTTCTTGAAGGTATTTGTACTTGAAGTCCCTATTCTTGAGATACTTTATGTAGCTGTGGAGTCGCTGGAAAAATTTTCTAGTGACTCCATGTTGTAGTAAGATGGTGAATTGGGCCAGTTGGTTAGGATCCACCGTGAACTTATTTACAGCGCAACACCAGAAAATATACAGGACAGGGAAGCAGCAAAAGAAGGAGCGCCGTCTTTTCTTTTTCTTTTGCTCCTTCCCTGTATTGTATTTTTTTTCTGGTATTGCGCTGTAAATAAGTTCACGGTTGACTGGCCTGGCGAAAAGTTATCGAACCCGCAACGTCGTGCATGGCTGTGCGACGCCGTAGTCGCCAAGCCACCAAGAGGGAGCGAGAGCTGCGCAAGTTTTGTGTTGCCACGTACAAAGTAATTGGTCTAGCACGCACGCAGATATTTTTTTTAGTACGTGCAGGCTGTGCATTTTCAATCGTAGCTAAAAGAATTTTGCATAAGCTGGCTTTGCCACACTGTGAGACTTACTGCGAAGAAGCCACCTTTGGCGGAGCTCTTGTAGTTGAATCGCGCATATTTGTATGACTTCTTATTTGGCCAGCACGAGACCTGACATCATCTGTAGAAGGCGATGACCGTGTTGCGAAATCGTGCATTGATAAAAAGCCGTCTGACGTTTTTGACATCTCTGGTCTAGCACGCACGCAAATAATTCTTTAGTAGTGCATTCTGTGCATTTTCTACCGTAGCAACCGGAATTTGACAGAAGCTGGCTTTGTCACGCTGTTATTATTACTGCGGAGAAGCCACCTTTGGCGGAGCTCTTGCTGTTGAATCGCGCATATTTGTACGACTTCTTGTTTGGCAGCACGAGACCTGACATCATCTGTAGAAGGCGATGAGGTGTGTTGCGAAATCGTGCATCGATAAAAAAAGACGTAAGACGTTTTTGACATTTCTCGGTGACGGTACGATTTGCGCGCAACCACGAGAAAAATTTCGGGACCATGTAATGCACAGAAAAAAATTACCTAAATATCTTGTGGGCGTACCTCGCATGCAATCTACAGAAGCAATCTGACTGGTTAACTGAACAATATAATGCAAGAAAAAAAAAACTACTGCACACGCCTGACAGCACAGAAGGCTGACCCATTAACCACGCGTTTTCTTCGGTGTATCGACGGCATGCGCGTACCGTGTTGTCCATGGCTCCCCGGTCTCCGTGCAACGGTGCGGGATGCGAGGCGTACTCGGGCTGCCCGTCGTGGAACATGAAGGCCGGGACGTTCACGTGGTCGGCATTCCTGCGCGTCAAGGGAACGACGACCGGGTTGTGGCTTCTCAGAACGAACATTTACTAGCAGGTAGTATAAATGCATGAAAAATAAATAAATAAATAAATTTTCTAAAAAGCATACTGAGCAACCCGTACGGAATTCCTTTGGCCTGCGTGACAATCTATCTATCTATCTATCTATCTATCTATCTATCTATCTATCTATCTATCTATCTATCTATCTATCTATCTATCTATCTATCTATCTATCTATCTATCTATCTATCTATCTATCTATCTATCTATCTATCTATCTATCTATCTATCTATCTATCATCTATCTATCTATCTATCTATCTATCTATCTATCTATCTATCTATCTATCTATCTATCTATCTATCTATCTATCTATCTATCTATCATACATACATACATACATACATACATACATACATACATACATACATACATACATACATACATACATACATACATACATACATACATACTGCGAAGGTAATTCGGATTCGTCTTGAAATGTTTTGAACGTTGCTAAACAAACAAACAAAAAGAAGCAACCAATATTCATTGATTTAAAGACCTTGCGTTAGGCTCGATTCAAAATAGTGAACAAGGCTCCCGTCGCTTAAGCCGAAACGTCCTTTCCGCTTGCATTTATTCTCAGCGTTTCATTTTTTTAATAAGGTCAATAAAATAGCAATGTTCGTAGCACATCGAATGTAATTTTTTTACCCTGTGTTGCTCTTCTGTAATACTGAGCAGCCCCGCCGCGGTGGTCTAGTGGCTAAGGTACTCGGCTGCTGACCCACAGGTCGCGGGTTCGAATCCCGGCTGCGGCGGCTGCATTTCTGATGGAGGCGGAAATGTTGTAGGCCCGTGTGCTCAGATTTGGGTGCACGTTAAAGAACCCCAGGTGGTCCAAATTTCCGGAGCCCTCCACTACGGCGTCTCTCATAATCATATGGTGGTTTTGGGACGTTAAACCCCACATATCAATCATCAATCAATACTGAGCAGGAAAGTGACCGTGACGCCAGGAGGATACATACTTGACCAGCATCCTGAAGTCGTAGGCGTGGTTCACGAGGTGCGGTTCCTTGGCCACGGTCACCGTCACGACCAGGTGTTGGATGGGCGTCTCTCGCCGGAAGTGCTGCGCACAGAGAGGACAAGAATCTCGCGGCCAGTATTATACGACCAGACACGCGCAGCAGCCATAATACGTAACATAAATAGCTGGCGCTGGGCTTTAGGTGCGGAGGGGGAAAACCGTGGAGGGACTTGAATGAACGCCAAGCTGCGTGCGAGCCAGTGACCAAATCCTGTTGTACACCATACGTGTCGCTAAAGGAGGGCTGTGTCTTTGCGGTATGTTATGAAGAAGGGGCCGTGGGGGGGGGGGGGGGGGGGGGTGGGGGATGTTGCCAGATTGGTAGATGGCGCCGCGACCAAGATCGGGCTGCTGGCTGACACCGAACGCAACAAAACTTCTATGTAAGCGCACACTTGCTGCCATAAGGTTTGTTGAAGTTTGAAGTTTATTTCACCACAGTCTTACACCATACAATGTGTGGTGTCGAAATGCGGGAAAAAAGCTGCCATAAAAACGCAGCTTGACTAGCCCCACATACCATCAATACAAGGCAGAAAAAGTGACAGAATTCACAAAGTCCCGGAAACAACTAAACAGACACAAATACATAGTTCAAAGTGGCACCAATAAGAAATATTGCATACATGAAATTTTAAGAAATGTTGAAAGGATCGCACTCTTTGAGGAAATACGAAAAAAATAGAAATAAGCAGAACATAAAAACACATCTTTAAAAATGGCTAAATCTCTCTTGCGTACTGAAAGTAAAAAAATATTTGACATATCCTGTTGCGAAAGAAGGCGCAATTGTTCCAATGATAAATTGAATTTATTTAGTATGTGGGGGAGTGAATGTTTCAGCATTTGTAGACCATGGTTTGTTCGGCTTCGAGGAACCTTCCAATAATCACTCTGTTTATTACGTCGAGACAAGGTATGTATGGTCTATTTCTCTACGTGCTGCACTGTACTTTACCATGCTAGGCTTTCCTTTTATCTTTGTTTATTTTATGTATTTATTTCACTCTATGTTTCTCCTTTTTGTTTTTCTTACTTTCTGTCTCTTTCCACATTTTTTTTCGCCCATGGCAACGCAAACCGCAATCGTACGGTTTCCAAAATTGCTTGTTCTGCTACCGCGCCTGCATAGACGAGTGGAAGCCACGCTCGCCTTCGCACCGGGGGTGGCCGGGCTTGAATCCCGCAGCAGTATTGATAGTTGGGCTAGTTGGTACGGCAGCATTTCTGGGTACAGTGTGAGATCGACGAAGACTGAAGACGTGTCTGCGTCCCTCCTGTCTTCCGTCGATCTCGAGCTGCACCCAAAGATGCTCGAACCCCGCTTAACATAGAAGCCGCGTCGTTTGATTTAAATTTCCCCCCTCCTCCTCCGCGCTTGTCCTTTCCTCCCCACTTTCCTCCTCAAACACGTTGCTAGGCGGCGCACTTGGAAACCCAGGAGCAGTGGCAGTAATTGCTGGGCAACGCGCACTGTCTTCAGAGCTGCGTGCAGCTTGTGCGAACGATTCAGCGCTGAATCTCGATCTTAAGCAGTTCAGTAAAGCATTCGTGTGGTTGATTTGGTTCCTACTTCAAAGAAATCTGGTTCGCGGAAAACGATGTACAGGGCGGCGGTAATACACATGGACATGTTTTTCTCACCGTGTCCCTGTTCATAAGAGTAAGACAACATGGTAGGCAAAGTAGCATATTAAGACACAGCAACACAGAACTGTCGTTTTCTATCGTTTAGTCTGTACCAGTTCTCTTTAAGTAGATCCACTGTTTAAAGATGACGCAGAGTCTCTTCAATGTGATAGGTAGACGTGCGCTGCACGACTCACGTGAAGGAACTGTCCCAGCACGGGCCTCTGCTCCATGGCCACCTGGTAGTCGACGCCGTGCAGTTGGTAGTCGACGTCCAGACCTCGAGGTCCCGTCGGCGCTACCTTTCGGGACACCTGCTGCGCCAGGTGCACTAGCTGCTCCTCGGTGGGCACTTCCTCCACGTGGTCCAAGCCCCGGAGCTCGACCATGGGCACGAGCCGCCTGTTGCGACGGCGCAAGGAGTTCAGAGCCGTCAGATTGCCTGCGAAGATTGAGGCCGTGGGCCACGTGTTGTACGGAAACCGTGGCTTTTAAGTGCGGAACGACAGGTCGTCTGACCAGCTGTCCGCCCTTCTAAGAAGAGGCAGTTCAGTGGAAGGGTGGAGCGATGAACGTGATGGGGAGCCTATTTTTCGAAGATCAGGCACGTCTTCAAAGCTGCAACACTTGCAGTCTCCAAGAAGACAAGTCCACATGACGCAACGTCATCTTCAGAGCCCCCCGCCGCCTCTTTTTGTGTCCACAAATTTTTTATCTTATCTGTCGTTTTCCTTAAAGGTACGGATATAAAACACAGCTCACCGTGGCGGAAGGGTCCCAGCGATAGGTCGCCCTTTATCTGTAGCGTTCCGTAGACGATGTGTGTGCAGAGACAAGGGTTCAGCTTGGACAGGTCGAAGTGGGGGTCGTCTGGCCGTACGTAGCACACCACGCTACGTTTGGGCAGTAACTTCTTGTCACATTGGCCTGGATCCGGAAAGACGCAACCAGACAGAGTTAGTGTCTATTAGTTTTACATTGTATTTTTCTTTAGTAAATGTTGATTGCTGCGAGAGCTTGGATCAATGTGCCACCACGCCGACATCACAAATCTGTGGCATCAGAATAGTAAACAAATAGTGATATTGTTCAATAGAGCAAAAAGAAAAAAAAGACATGTCTTTCAAATACCTTTTACCAAACATATTTCGATTTGCTTTGATTTGATTCTTAACTCAGGTTTCTGCTAATACCACTCACAATTCGGCGTTGTCGTGCCGTGGTGTATTTCTCGGCTGAGCTTTGCGTCGCGTCTTGGAGGCCATGTAGAAAGGAGCACGCAATTGAGCTCTCCTCCGCCAGGCGCAGCGACGATCCCAGCTGCTCACAGGAAAACAATCTACACCTTCAGTGAATTTGCCCATTTTTCATTATATAGCTTGACAGTTTACTGTAGCCCTTGACTCTAGCAAACCTGTGCTCATGGATCTGATGCCAGCTGTACCCAACGTAATTTTTTACTTGAACCAGAACAATAGACTTCACACCAGTTTTATATTTTAGAAACTTTCTCTGAATATTTTGAAGACTGGATGTAATCGGAATATAACCAAGAGTGTCACTCGTTGCTTGTGACACGAAACGCGGGACACAAGTTGTGACATTTTTGCTGAAAAAAAGAAAATTGTTCACGGTGACACTTCGAGCTAATACCATTGTTGCTGCTCCGGCGAGTGTGTTAACCACTTTTCTTCTAACACATGGCTAAAACCTGTCTTATAACTCAGCATTCACACGTTTTCAAATAAGATGACCCGGACAAGAGAGTTAGAGGGACACTCAAGAATTCATGCGTGTTCATTTCTTCATTCGTTAGTTTCCTAGCTGTTTCAACTTCTCTAAAGAACAGCTGGAAGCCGTCTTCTAAGCTTACACTGCAATATTTGAAGCCAACCAAGACAAAAGAGAAGCAGGCACACGCAAGTGTTCCTGTGTGTTCCTGTGTTTTCTTGTCCCTTGTTTGTTTGCAGGTGACCATTTCTTGTCTGAAGAGAGTTGGAAGCAGACAGGAAAGACTGACCAGGACAGTAAAGATGCATAAGCGCACGAGTGGGTATGAGCGTTCATGTAACTGCTTTGCCACGATTTCGCAACGCTGACACTTTTTCCTCTTGTGAACAGCTAGGAGCTGTGTTCGATAGGCTTATGTATAAACTACAGCGAAGAAGACGTAGGAACGGAAGCCCCTCTCCTGGGGTTCATGCCCATTTGTCTTGCTTAATATAGTTGCAAGCTGTTCTTGCATGGGTACTCTTGATGACTGACGTTAACCTCGACATAAAAGACGGATGAACACAGATTTAATTATTCCTGTGTCCCTATAGCTTTCTCCTGGCTACACAACGCTGCTCTATTCTCGCCTAAGTCGCCGTCTTCCAAGCTATAGCCTTTACAGTGCGTGTCACGAACCTATGATGTATCCTGGACCTTAACTCAAGTTCTTTCAGCCGACACGTTCCACACGCCGCTTTCCGTTTCCAGCTGCGCACACTGCTCGACCTTCGCTTAAGCCTGGCGAGCTTGAACGGTTCAACGCGTGGATGCCAAGCCGCGCGTATTGAAAGTAATTGCTCTTCGAAGTTGTGTCATCTTGGAGCCCTCCTAAACCGCTATTCGTAAGGTTAACCTCTTTCAAGAAGCCGTCGGCTGGAGGAACGCATTTTCAGTGCGCTTCACCTGTCAACTTGTATCACATGCCTGAACAGATGCGTGAAGGATTGTGCTGCGCTTGGAAGCAAAGCACTATGTATGTAGCGTGTGCATGCTTGCGTTTGCCTAAAGGGGGGGGGGGGTTGCTGTTAAGAAACTCTGGAAAGCTTGATTGATTGATATGTGGGGTTTAACGTCCCAAAACCACCATATGATTATCAGAGACGCCGTAGTGGAGGGCTCCGGAAATTTCGACCTCCTGGGGTTCTTTCATGTGCACCCAAATCTGAGCACACGGGCCTACAACATTTTTGCCTCCATCGAAAATGCAGCCGCCACAGCCGGGATTCAATCCCGCGACCTGCGGGTCAGCAGCCGAGTCTCACCTTAGCCACTAGACCACAACGGCGGGGCGAAACTCTGGAAAGCTTGTACCGTTGAAAAAACAAATGTCTCAAGCATGAAGAGGGTCTCAAGCAAGAAGATTGATTCCAAAGTTAGTGATAATCATTAGTATGGCATTATAAGGAATAGGTCGGGCACGACTTGGGGCACATGGGCACTCGACTTTCCGGTGTATCGCGCTTTTAAGGAGCATGGATATTGAGCCTGTAAAGAGGTTTTTGTGTACTCAAGACTGCGTCGCAGTCATCGAATGTCGGTGAAGGATAGTGAATCAGGTTGTACCAAGCTGGTGCGCCGATGCGAATACGATAGCTTCACCGTCATGTGCCCTTATCGTCGTTTCTTACCTGTGACTGCGTTATTAATTTTTCTTTCTTTCATTCATTGCAGAGTTAGCTCCCATGATTACATAGGCAAACTCTGATGCATTAATCGTGCATCTTGTCACGACCTCAGCGTAGTGTAGGAAGCCGTAAGGAAACGTATAACACTGCTGCTACACCTAAAACGAGATCTTTTTTCTGTGAAACGTTTGCGAAAAAAGAAAATTAGTATTCCGTTCTTGAACTCGCCTCGAATGTGACTTTGGGGTAGTACATGAATGCATGCATGCATGAGAGCGTGCGTTAAAGGTCGAGGTCTTGCAGTGTCGTCGCTGAACCTTTGGCTCGTACTTTTCGCTACTTGGGTATCGATAACGAGGGATTAAGTATGTCGAAAACGTGCGAAACGTACCTACCGCAAAGCACGTTTCAAACCGTCTCTACACGGTAAAACCGTTGGCTGCATGCATTCGTGACATCTTAAGCAGGAACGTAAGAGGTCGACAGACAAAAGGTCGTCGCAGGATTCGAGAAACGTTCGTTCTTATTCTTCAGCCATGGATACACGCTCTTGACGCTTAAGAGACGTTATGTCGGAACGCGCGAAACTTGTCTGAGGCTGGCTCCTTCGCTATGGTACTCTTGACTTCCAAAGCAGGACTTCCAGAGGTCCGCCAAGAGTCAGCGACGTAGTGGCAGACATGTTCGTTTTATTAATTCCTACTATACGTATCTGCCTCTCGAGGGTTCGAGAAGTATTTCGAAATGCCGGAATAAAGTCAGAAACTGGTTATCGGTCCTGATACTGGTTACGCGATTGTCACATTGATTTATTTCGACCTTGGCTTACCAGGGCAGTTAGCGTGTTCTGTACGTCGTCCTCGAAAGAACCTACAAAACGTATCCGCGCGAGTAAGTGTTCCGAGTGACTTTTGAAGCAGTTCTAAGTGTACACGGCTAAAGGCGGTATAACGGTATCGGGCCAAAAGTGATACAACGACGCGCCGCTAAAAGTAGTACAACGATATACAGCTAGAGAAGTGGCAATGCGATGGCGTAGTGGTTTGCCGGAGGTAGGGGAATTCAGAAGTATTCTTTCCATGCCTCTAAGGTCATTCGTTCTTTATACGATTGCGTGTTCACACGCACACACACAAAAAAAGAGGATTACGACACGCTAAGTACCGAACAACATGGAAGAAGGCAAACGAAGTACGGCGAAGGTTCATTTGAAGACATCTCTTAAGATTCCTCGAAGTAGTATTGCTCGTCAAGTCACACTTAGGACCTGAAAGCTGATATGCAGGTGTCCACGTTTGCTAAGCGATAGAATCGTGGCCGTGTGGAGCTATTTGTGTCGTTGCTGGTGTTCCTTACAGCTCGACCGAGTTCGCCGCACTTTGCTGGTGATTAGTTGCACCTTTTGTGCACCCCTGTTAGCTTGCCTTAATTCGTGGCGTGCTTTTTATTAGAAAATTCCTACTGCGGAAATGGTTTTAGAAACTCTTATTGTTACGTTTCTTGTAGTGTTGTTTTGGCCTTACTGTCTATAGGTTACCATATATTGCAGAATTTTCACTTCATTACGAGCCGCTTTCCCGACTAGTACAAACGCACATATCGCGATGGAGGGATTCGATTCCGGTGCCACCTACATTCCTCACACGAGAGGCACAAGGACATGAATGTTTGCTTTGTGCCTAGACGTACGCGTTTCTGTATTCCACTGTTCACTGCGCGTCTGAAACGTTCACAGATTTGGAATTACAGCTCACACAGCGTAATATCGATCAAATCTTTGGTAAAAATGTTATTGATAACAGTGCAGCCACGGCTAGCCATTATTAACTGTGCATTATGCTGACCGCGAGTGTGGTGGAGGCATTTTCTCATTTATTATGTTTACACTTGTCATAAAACCTCACCAAATTGACAGTTCAACCTATGTTCTCATTGGCTGAACTTTCGTTACCTTCAGTAGATGTTGGCATGGTGGTATACGTCGTACTCGTTATTTGCCAGGCAAATTATAAAGGGAAGCATTTGTATTCGTTAGATGCAAGCTGAAACGTTTTTCCTCTTACCAGAGTTTGTGGAGGACGTTCGACTGCGACCGCGCGTGGGTTTCGATTGGCACAGCTCGGGCCACGACGCCAGCGCCACGAGCAGCAGTGTGGCGAGGAGGGAAAACTGCGCCGCCATCTTTGTTCCTTGGCGTGCCCGCTGCAGGAAAAAAAAAAAGAAGTGTTTGAGAAAACATATAGTCGTTTTTTTTTTTTGCCTCATGTTTCCGTTACTGTTTACTGTATTCAAGTATTTTTCTTTCTGAGATCAAAGCTTCCATGTCTTCAGTTCGTGCATATTATTAAGCTTTTTTTTGGAGATTCGCGTAGTGGTTTGTGCAGTGTTTTCGAATGTTCAGTTCTTGATGAGATTTTAATATGGTCGTGGTAATTCAAAACAATTTACGTAATTACAATGGGCATGGCGTTTAATACAATTAGATTTCTACCTTGAACGCAATACAAAAGAATTGATTAATTGTGTTAGAATACCGAGAATGGCTCAGGATGCTCCTAAATCGCTCTTGGTTGTCTAAGAAATTAACCGTATTTTTCATCGATTCTTTGTGTGATCTGGTGCTGCTAAAATGTAACCAGTTGCATGGATCAAACAAGAAGATTAAGGCAGTTGTGAACTAGATGTAACCTATTACTAAGACTTTCAAGAATAGCTGGGTGCAAGGCGCTTCAACGATGCAGGTGGCCGAATGCAGAGCTCGAGGCACACTCCAGTGTATATACCGACACTTGCTCCGTCCAAATCGAAAAACAAACAAAAAATAGCAAAATTTATTTCTCCCGTTTTTCGCCCGACCTTGTGCCGTCCAGTATGGGCTTCGTTATTGCACTTGTAATCTCGTCGCCTCTTTGATAGCTTTAAAGTGTTTCTGAGGCACTACATAACGCCACCCGCGGTCCACGAAGTTGAAAAAAAGATAAGTAAGGAGGATTAGAAGCGAAAGAAACTTATGAAATGCAGTTCGC